TAATATCACTTAAGTGGATCTATAGGGACCTTTCATTGGCCGAAAACTCTCAAGAAAATCCAATTCCTTAATTTTTCCAATCACCACTTGATATGGAACAATATGGGCAATGAAAAACTTTTCTTCATCACCTACAAGCGCCGCAGAAACCTCACAAACTATACAGCAAGAAGAAGACGACGGAGAAAAAGCCCGCTGCGACTGGGATTTTCGCATCTCCGCCGTAGTTTCTTCTCCCACCTCCGCCGTGGGAGCTGTTTCCGACGCTCTTGGGGTTCTAGAGTTTGACCCTTCTGATAACTTCTTGGCCACCGGCGGAATAGCCCGGAAAATTAGGGTTTACAGTGTTAACTCGCTGGTTGATCCTTTTTGGGATCAGGACGAAGGAAGCGACGCCGTTTCGCTTGATCATAGCAGTGCATGCGATTATTACATCTGCACGCCGGCGAAGCTGAGTAGCCTGAGATGGAAGCCGGGGTGGAACAGCCGGGTTCTCGGGTCGGGCGACTACGACGGGGTAGTGATGGAGTATGACCTGGAGAGAAGAGTCCCGGTTTTCGAGCGTGACGAGCACGGCGGCAGGCGCGTCTGGAGCGTGGACTACTCCCATTCCGACTCCGTCGTCGGCGCGTCCGGCTCCGACGACGGCACCATGCAAACGTGGGACCCGCGCTGCCCGAACGGGAACTGTCTCGCGACGGTGCAGCCGAGCAAGGCGCGGAGCGCCGTCTGCTGCGTGCAGTTCAGCCCCTTCGCCCCTTCCATCGCCGCCGGCTGCGCTGACCGGAAAACCTACACCTACGACCTCCGCAACACGGCGGAGCCGCTGTTCATCCTCGACGGCCATCTAAAGGCCGTGACATACGCCAGATTCCTGGACCGCCGTACGGTCCTAACATCGAGCGTCGACGGCTGCATCAAAATGTGGGACACCGACCACCGCAACCTCGTCCGGACATACAAAGGCCACATAAACACCACCAGATTCGTAGGTTTATCGGTGTGGAAGAACGGCGGATTGATCAGTTGCGGGTCGGAGAATAACCAAGTTTTCGTGTACGATACGAGGTGGGGCGAGCCCATATGGGTATACGGGTGCAAATCCGCCACGGGTCAACCCGGGTCCGAAAATGGGTTCATTAGTTCCGTGTGCTGGATGCAGAGGGGAGACGATCACTGCACGCTTGTCGCCGGCGGCTCCGACGGAGTTTTGAGAGTTTTCGCCGGCAAACGGCGGAAGGCGGCGGTCACTTACAAGCTAGCTTAGCTGATTTTACACAACAGCAGGTGTTATTAACTTATTATGCATATACCGCAACATTATTAATAAGAAAATGAATGCGATTTTTGAGGAATCTCGATTGAATGATTCCTTTTTGATCAATTGATTGTTTAAATCAGAACTTCTTTGAATTACATTATTTTTTTAAATACTAAATGACTGCACAAAAAGTTAATGCGTCACTAGAATGGAATTTGAACTTGATATATTGGGTACTAGTTAGACCAATGAAAGTTTATATATCTGTGTCTCGAAGAGGATTTTTTTAATTTTTTTGAAAGTTACTAGCTCTATTACATTGTAGTATCTGTTCATATACTTTCTCAACCTACTGAAACACAAAGAACCAATAACGACTTGAACTCATAATCTTCCAAATGGAAGTCCAACTCGGGTACCATTAGACCATATAGTCCTGGTCGAAACGTTTAAATCGAAACGTTTTTTAATTGGATAATCAATCAAGTTGTAGTATTGAGTATGAGTTTTTGGGTCTAATAATTTCAGTCTATAAAGAGTTATCTTCTTTTATTGCACAATAAGATGGTAAACTTTTGTCACCGTTAATATATACATGTTCAATTTTTCCCGATTTTTAATAATTTCATATTAGTCCTATGACAAATATACATAGTGTTATATGTAAAATAACAAGTTATTACTTTATGTAATTCACTTGGTTTTGCTCTTTCTATTTGGTGTAAGAAATGCTATAATTATCCACTTAAATTAGATGAGGGCCTACATAGTTGCTCCTTTTGCCAGGTAAATTATATTGTCAACTATATGGTCCATCTTGCAATGTGCATCTTCATCTAAGTTTATTTTTAATGTATACTAGGTTTGTGTATTCATTTTTAGTGTATTATAAGTCAAAATAAAATTATAGTACATTAAAAATGAATATGCAATATACTAAAAAAAAAAAAAAAATTATATAAGAAGTTTATCTCAATGTGAATCCATGATATACCTTGGACTAAGATTCACCTTGCAAGGTACGATAGCATTTTACCATGCTCAATGTGTTTCTAAATAATAAGTTTTGAGTTTTTTAACATATTAGTTTATGAATATTAAGATTTGAGTTGTTGAACATATTTAAATCATGTTATGAACATGTAACAAAGTGAATATTGTAGTGTTTAATTTATGAACATTAAGTTTTGAGTTTATGAATATATAGGTCAAAGTACCTATGAGATCCTTGAATTATAGTGTTTTGCTCAATTTAGTCATTCAACCTTAATTTTGTTCAATTTAGTCCATGTACTTTAAAAAGTAAAACAATTAAGGACAATAGCTGATGTGGCGTTGGCATCATCTATGCTACGTCATCATACTTACATGCCAACTCATATATTATTCTCTATGCAAGAAGTTAGGTGTTCAAATAATATATGAGTTGGCATGTAAGTATGATGACGTCGTAGAGATGATATCGACAAATCAGCTATTGCCCTTAATTGTTTCACTTTTTAAAGTACATGGACTAAATTGAACAAAATTAAGGTAGAATGACTAAATTAAACAAAACACTATAGTATAAAGACCTCATAAGTACTTTGACTGAATATATATTGTCTAGTTTTTAAACATTAAACTTTAAATTTTTGGATGAAAGCAATGTCGTTGTGGAATAGACTACTGGACCTTGGTACACGATATAATTTGCGCATCGATTGCTTTTGCAGCCACCCATGAGCAAATTCCTTGGCAAATTATTTTGTGGACATGGGTCCACCTTGCAAGGTGAATTTGAGTCAAAAAATACACAATTTACATACTGAATGTTCATAATTCAAATTGTGAATATTCAATATGTAAATTGAGTATTTTGGATCTGGGTCCATCATGCAATGTGAACCCAATCACATTGTATAACTGTTGAAATTCCTCCTTGTGTAATAATCATACAATCGTTATGCGTTGGACCCGTGTCCAGCATGCTTGCTGGACACGGGTAACAGTGCCGTTATGCACTGTTATCTCCTTTTTTTTTTTTTTGTTTTTTTTTTTAAATTTCAGTCCGCTTCATTGTAAGAGTATATGTTCATAATTTTATTACTATATGTTAATAACTATACATTCATAACTCCATAACTGTACGTTCATAACTCTATAACTGTACATTCATAACTCTATAACTGTACATTCATAACTCCATAACTGTACATTCATAACTCCATAATTGTACATTCATAATTTTCGAAGCTCTATGTTCACAATTTTAGAGCTCTATGTTCATAATTTTATCACTATATGTTCATAATTGTAAGTTCATAATATTAGAGCTCTTTGTTCGTAATTCGATCAATAACTGTACATTCATAATTCCATACTGTAGATTCATAATCTCATAACTGTAGATTCATAACTCCATAACTGTAGATTCATAACTCTATAACTGTACATTCATAACTCCATAACTGTACATTCATAATCTTCGAAGCTCTATATTCACAATTTTAAAGCTCCATGGTCATAATTTTATCACTATATATGTTCATAATTGTAAGTTCATAATGTTAGAGCTCTGTGTTCATAATTTCATAATTGCATAACTGTATATTCATAACGGCATAACTGTACATTCATAACGGCATAACTGTACATTCATAATCCAAAAAAAAAAAAAAATAACGCCGTTAACGACAAAACACGCGCGATTTTTTTTTATTTTTTTATTTTTTATTTTTTATTTTTTTTATAACTAAATGACGCATTTTTTTTTAAAAACGACGTCGTTTTGGGCCCGTGTCCACAATTCAATGTGGACACGGGTCCAGGGCATAATTTGCCATAATCATATGATTGGGCTGATTAGGTAATGGATGAATAGTTATGCTATGCAACCGAATGTACCATGCGCATGGTGCATACGGTTCAAAACGACGTCGTTTTGATTAAAAACGCGCGTCCCACTTAAAAAAAAAAATCAGGTTTGACTCTCAGCAATAGCATTATTGTGGATATATAGTTATGAAATTGTGGATATATAGTTATGAAATTGTGGTTATATAGTTATGAATTTATGGATATTTAGTTCATTCATTGTGGATATTTAGTTCAATCATATATTGTGGATATTTAGTTCATTCATTGTGGATTTTTACTTCATTCATTCATTCATTGTGGATTTTTACTTCATTCATTCATTCATTGTTTGATTTTTACTTCATTCATTCACTGTGGATATATAGTTATGAAATTGTGGATATATAGTTATGAAATTGTGGTTATATAGTTATGAATTTATGGATATTTAGTTCATTCATTGTGGATATTTAGTTCAATCATATATTGTGGATATTTAGTTCATTCATTGTGGATTTTTACTTCATTCATTCATTCATTGTGGATTTTTACTTCTTCATTCATTCATTGTGGATTTTTACTTCATTCATTCACTGTGGATATATAGTTATGAAATTGTGGATATATAATTATGAAATTGTGGTTATATAGTTATGAATTTCTGGATATATAAAAATGCTATTGCCGGGAATCGAACCTGATTTCTTCTTTAAGTGGGACGCGCGTTTTTTTAACCAAAACGGCGCCGTTTTGCAACCGTATGCACCTTGCAAGGTGCATTCGGTTGCACAGCATAATTTGCGGTAATGGATCAGCCCAATAATTCAATGATGAAATGAGCAGCCCACTATTTCATCAAAAGAGGCCCAATTTCAATATTTAATTGCTTTGCATATTAAAGGGAGAAAATATTTGCTCTGAGACGCTCCTCTTCCTCTTGGGTCCTCTCCGGCCACATCGGAATTATAGAAAGAGAAATCAGCTGAAAATCTCGCCGGTCTACGGAGAAAAAGGGGAGAGTTAGCAGAGATGATAACGTCGCCGGTGGTGAACACATATCCTCTAGCCAGCTACAGCTTCGGCACCAAAGAGCCGAAGATGGAAAAGGACACCTCCGTCGCCGATCGCCTTGCTCGCATGAAAGTCAAGTAAGTTTTTCCTATTTTCCATGCCTTTTATGTTTCTCTCTTTCATTTATCTTATCAATTTTTTAAAAAGTTTAAGTAATTTCCGAGAGATGGCATTTCATGAAAAACCCTAGATAAACCTTATGAGCTTAAGTTTGTAAAACCAAATGGAAATGCATACTGTTATGATTCCTTTTTTTGCAATTTTTTTTTCTAGTTAAAGTTGTAATTTGTAAGGTTGATATTGCTAATTGATTGTTGGTTATGATCTGCAGTTACATGAAGGAGGGAATGAGGACTAGTGTTGAAGGAATTTTGTTGGTATGTTTTATTTTTTTAATAGTCACATAGTTGCTCTATCTTTGCTGCTTTAGACGGCTAATTATGCCTCAATGGTATCCAAGCACTGATCTTTTGACTTGGATCTTTCACTTATTCTCTGAATTTATGCTGCTAAGGCTTGATGTGTACTCATATCTTAGGCAACTTAGTGCCAAAATTGTTACATTTCATGTGGACTGCTTGAACTTTCCAAAAATGTGTGATTTTTGGTCCATTTTGCTAGATTCTTTAGCATGGGACAGAATTGTAGTGATGCAAATGTGCAAATTGCATGTTTTTTAAATATTAGCTTCTGTTAGAGATTAGTTATCTCTCAAGAAGAAAATTTTCTGAGGGGAACTTATTGTCATCCACTACACATTCTTGTGTCATCTTTCCTTAGGGTTCACTCTGTTTCCAGGGTAAGGTGTTATCATTTTGTTATGTGGATTACATTTTGAGAAATTCCTTTCTTTAGTTCTTTTCTTTGCTAGTGTGAATGAGGCATGGTTTCCCTTGTCTAGATAAAATTTTATTTTCTTCATTGATGTATGATGGTTAGATAGGTATTATCAATTGCTTCATATGGTTAGATTAGATAGTGAATGCTAACTGTGTGGTTTGTAACCTACAGGTACAAGAGCATAATCATCCTCATATTCTTCTTCTTCAAATTGGGAACACTTTTTGCAAACTTCCTGGTGGGCGCTTGAAGCCTGGAGAGAATGGTATGAATTTTTTGCCTTTTACCTTTTTCTTTCTTGTTATTGCCACATCCTGCACATTTTGTTTCTAAAAACTATCATTTTCGCATTAAGGCTTTCCTCAACTTTGCTTACTATAGTGCTCATTGTTCTGATTGAGTGATTTGTATAAAATCTTCTACAGAAATTGAGGGGTTGAAAAGGAAACTCTCCAGCAAACTTGCAGCTAATAATTCCGCTGTTCAGCCAGATTGGCAGGTAAATTGTTAACACATTATATTATTTACTCCTTTTCTTGGCAGCACTTGTGAGAATGAGCTAGCTTTTGGTTTGGTCCTTGAATTTAATTTAGAAATTTTAGGAGTTATAAATGAAAAATAAATTAGCCCACTAGAAGGTAACGGGGTTTTAGATGAATCATACTGTGCTTGAATTTGATTCTATTACATTTTAACTTCAATGCAAGGAATAGAGTGGAACGGAATATTTTCTTTAGTTTGTTTCCATACTATGTTTTACAATTAAGTTCATTCTTCTGGTTGTTTTGTAAACCAAATTTTAATCAATCCAAACTGGGCAACTTATTAATTGACATGGATTGTTACGAATTCATCAATGATCAATCAGTAATTCCCCTATTGTAATTGTTGCTTCCTTGATGAATTTATTTGTGAAACAAGTGCAGATTGGAGAATGTGTGGCCATCTGGTGGAGGCCAAATTTTGAAACAATCATGTATCCATATTGCCCCCCACACATAACAAAACCTAAGGTATTGTTCAGTCAAGCTTACTATAATGGTGATTAGGAACTTTGGTCTCATTTTCAAATTTTCAACATTTCTTATTGTTCTTTGATGGTAATGTAGGAGTGCAAAAAGCTCTTCCTGGTTCATCTGTCTGAGAGAGAGTACTTTGCTGTCCCCAAAAACTTGAAACTTCTTGCTGTGCCATTGTTTGAACTCTATGACAATGTTCAGGTATTATCAATATATCGGAGTTTCCTCATCTTGCTCATAGCTTGTTATACCCTTCTGCATACTTATAAGTTGTCTCTGGGAGAGAAGTGACATTCTCCTTATGACGGAACTGCTCTCCTCTAAACAAGTGCTTAACCTTTGCAAATCCTCGGCTTAGCTCACTGCACTGTGTACTTACACGTTCTTCTTTCGATTGGTGACAGAGATATGGACCTGTCATATCCACAATTCCACAGCAGCTGTCTCGGTTCCAGTTCAACATGATCCATCCATAGTTTCATGACATCCAAGAACTCATGCCCATGCAGAACATAGAGGACATCAAATTAACCGGGTATAGGTCCAATTTGAAGATACTAGAACAAACACTCGAGACACAAAACCCCTCTTTTCTACTTAGACATTGAAGTGAAACCGCAAAACATGCATGAATTTAGGTCTTTTTATGTTTTATTTATGATGGATGATATTGCTGCTGATATTTGGATGGTGTAATTTTGAAGACAGGGTTCATCTGTTGTAGACATGTAACTTATTTTATTTGTATTTTTTTTGGGGCACATCATACTAGATGGGGGTAGAAGTCTTAACACATGTAGTCGTCGTGATTAAATTGCAAAATATCTGTAGGTTTTGAATGACTCTTGCGGCTGAGTTGGTGAAATGCTTGACATGTTTAGGATGTAAGTTTCCAAAAGACAGCAATTTGTGTATTTAGCAGTGATTTATCAATTCAAGAATGTTTTTTGTTTTAGATCAAAGCTACCTAAGATTTGCATGTTTTTACCAACACATTACCTGTCTGGAGATTTAATCTGTTATTTTATTTTGGGTGACAGAAGAAAATTCGTAGTCACTAACTGAGGATATGTACTGCCCGTACTGGGTAAATTTTATCGTAGTCACTATCTGAGGATATGTACTGCCGAACTGGGTAAATTTTATCTTGTAACATTAGTTGTTAAAGGATTACAAGGATGGGTTAATTTCATCCTGTAACATTAGTTGTTAAAGGATTACAAGGATGTAAACAGACTGTTTTTATTAGGAGTCAAACTTGAAATCTTGTGGTTATCAAGCTAAATTAACTTTGTTGGGTGCAGATTAACATTGGCTAAGATTATCCTTAATATGTGATTCTTTGTTGGTCAACGAGTGTGGTTTAGTCAAAGGTTTTTAGCCGGTGTTGTCATGAAAGATGCATGCATGATTTTGAGATGGTAAAAGAGTAATAGTATAGTGGCCAGTGGATGCATGGATGATGTGAGATAAAAGCTACCCCTTAACACGTAGTTTTATGTTTTCCAAAGGTTTTTGTTTTTATAATCGGTTCATCGTCATATGTTCAAAATGGATGAGGACATGATACGGGCGTTTCACATTGGAATTAAAATTGTAATAGTTGGAATAAATTTTAATTTGAAGTAAATTTAATTTCTTTGTGTGGTAATAAATAAAAATTGAAATCAAAATGAATAATAAACAAAATATAAAATACATATATGCATTTGTCAAAAAATAAATAAATACATATATGCATATATGTGCGTATACGTGGTCATCAGCTTGCTGCTGCGTTTGTCATAATTCTTTATAATTTTCCTTTTTTATTTTGAGACATTTTTATACTGCAAATTGGTTATAATTAAATAAATCAATCAAAGATAACTAATGAGTACCTTGTGGGTAATTTTAAATTGTAAACCATTATTATTATTATTATCATTATCATAAAAAAAGATTTTTTTGTATAGAAATATATTATTAATAATCCACTTAAGGCTAGGCATTATAATTATTACACCTCTATTATTACATTTATTTAGACAATTAAATGTAATGGCAAAATTAAATAGAATATTCCGTGTTATCATTCTTTAAGGACATCCACAATAGTAGATTTTATAAGGTTCTTGTAGGTTTTTAAGCATACGCGGAAGAGAGAGTGTAATGGTTTTACTGCAAAACCTGGGTTTTATCAGACTTATAGGACCCACCAAGAAAAAAATAAGTCACGCTCAGGTCGTGTGAAGCGCAACCACAGCGCCCAACCGGGCACATTAATATGAAGCTTTTTTTTTTTTTTTTTTTTTTTGCAAATTTGTTTTGCACTTTTTTCTTTTTCCCTTTCCTCACATCAATCTTTCTTAGTTACACCTGCAAAAACTCCTAAAAAACTATGGCTATTGTGGATGCTCTAAATCGCCTCCAATGGAAATATCCCTCAAGCCATTCTTCATCACTGTAAACTTGAATTTGAATTTATGAGCCCAGGGGGTTTAATATGGCGTGATGTCCTTGAAGATGTCTTGGGCTATTATCACGTCATGCATCCCTCATATTTGACGCAATATGGATTACCAAATGTGCTTATGCTAATAAGTTATTTACACTAATTTATTTGGCTTTAATTTATTATTCCCAATCTACCCTCCACTTGTTGTCCTCTTAGCTGTCTTATATTCTTCCTTACCGGGGGAAACGGTCTTCTCCTTCCTCGTTGTCGTCCATATATACATTAACACACAGCTGTCTGTTGTTTAATTAGCTACTTAGGATAAATCATACCGACTTTCCATTTTTCCCTAATCATTTTCTTAATCATAATTAGAATTTTCCCTCTCTGTATTACATCATGCCATGGATACATTACTATAAATAATTATAATATGAATTGTTGTAGTCCTGAGCCCAAATTGTATAGAAAAATTCATGGCCCCGGGCATAAAAAAAAAAAAAAGCAAAGTCTTAAGTACATAATTAAACGTTAAACGACATTTAATAATGTTTGTATATTGGAGAGCCGTAGGGGACCATAAATTATATATCTTGATAATGAGTAATGGAGAATGACGCACTGTACTAAACTAGATTTAAATTTTGGAAGAATTTCACATTCAAATTAAAACCATCTAGGTACAATTTGCAGCCCGAAATTATTTTTATATAAAGAGTGTATTTATATAAATATTATTAGAATTCTATGTATTGAGTAAGTTTATGATTCGTTATCCCAGTCATTATGTGACTCTTGTATATATTCTTATTGTCTGTACTTTTTGTGAACACATTATTCAATACAATTATTACAGTTTTCATCTGGTATCAATTAGCTAGGGTTGTAATTATGATTAATTCTTGCCAAAAATTTCTTGATTAAATTAGTTTCATCTATTTTTTTTTTTTTTTGAAAACTTCATCTAATGTTATACAAATATAAATGTAGAATGTAATTTAAAAAAAAAACAAAAAAACAAAAACAAAAACAAAGATGTGAATTTCAATGCTTTATTTTAAATTTTGTAAACTTTATAGTTTTTACTCAATCACAAATAATTGGTAAATAAAAATATATATAATATTAGAATAATCATATTAAAAGACTTGAATTACATGTATGTATCACAAATTTGTGGGAGTTAATGATTTCTTAGTACATGTTTTTCTAATGGAAGGAATTTTTCCACGTAGAAGCCCAATCAATTATAGCAAAAGATACTAAGATAGGCATTGCCGATCTCTTGATCAATCATAATTTGACTTTCATTTAAACCGACAGCTTGATATTCTTGGACTTCTATCTAACAATATTGTTGTCCCTATATTTACACAAAATAACAATTTTAGTCCTTTAATGATTGTTTATAAGAGCATCCACACTAAGGGGAGAATGTGGAAATAATGTCAGATGCTTTCTTTTGAATGGGGTGAATAACTAGTGTGGAGAAGAAAGAATAGTGGGAAGAATTACTCTACAAATATGTGGAGCATAGGAAAAAAAATAAAAAAGAAAGATCACATGCTGTGCGCGTGCAGTGCACGTGCCAGGCTGTGCGTCAGGCGCGCCTGACATACTTTTCTTTTTATATTTTATATTTTTTATTTTTTGTTTTTTTTTTTGGTTTTGATTTTTTTTTCTCCCATTCCCACGTTTTCTTTTCTAATCACTCTTACATTATCTCTCAATTCTCCCCAACCATTGTGGATGCTCTAAGGTAACAATTTTGATCCCTAACCAATACAGACTGATAAAGTTCATCAATGTCATATTATACCTATGCATCAGTGTCACACTGAACAATCAAGTCCCTGCAATCTGCCACCAATGTAGAACAAACTTGCTCCAAAAGTCTGACAATTCTAAATCATTATGGCCTTGTTTGGCAATCAGTGGTTAGCGATTAGCGTTAGCGGATTGTGTTAGCGGTTAATAAATAGCGGATTAGATTAGTGGGTTTGACCAGCAGATTGTATCAGCGGTTTGTAAAAAAGACGTTTGGTAAAATTAGCTGTTTAGAATAGCGGTTAACATGTAAAATGACCCATAAGGACATTAGTGTAATTTTTTTTATTATTATTGGTAATAATATTATAATAATTATAACTATATAAAAATTATTAATTCAAATGAGCAATACATTTGAAATTGAATAAAATAAGTGTGAGTGTATGCCACCAAATTAAAAAAAAAAATGTAATTGTATGATATTAAATTTAATTAAGAATTAAATAAAGAGGGAAAAATAGCTAGCTTTCAAAAAAATAAAGGGGGAAAATAGCTATTAAATTTAATTATAGGAATGCAAAGTTGCATTTTAGATATATGGAATGAGGCATACAGCAAGTCATTGTAAAAAAAAAAAAAAAAAAAAAAAAAAAAAAAGAGAAACAAGGGCAAAATTGAGATTTAGAAAATAAATGGAGAAAAGCTAATGCTAAACGCTGCTCCTAGTAGCGTGTCAATTTTAGCGGATTGGACAGCGATTCGCTAAGTGAAAAAGCCATTAACCAAACGTCTTCTTTAGCGGTTTGACAAAGTCAAACCGCTAAAGATGGTCAAATCCGCTAAAAAATGACGGATAAGCTGATAACCAAACATGGCCTTATGTCTCCGTTAACAAGCCAATGAATCAAAACTATCACTTTGTTAAAAACAAGTCCATAATAGCCTACTCGTAAAAAAAATAGGTCAATAATCATTTTGCATTCCTCTAGCCTCTGCACATGATTCTTGCCATTATAAAGACAAAATTGTAATTTACAATTCTAAACTATTAATGTATAACACGTTGAGGAATAGAACCATCAAACTGCCCATCCGTTAAAAAAGATTTAAAATTACTAGCTAACTCATGGAAAAATAGGTCAATGATTAAGAAATTGAAACTATTATTGTGTATAAATATAAGAACAAAAAAAATGTTATTTTTTTGGAGGACAAACATTGAATTTTATAGTTCCGAAAGGGGTGGTTGAGTGGATGAAACATGATTAGTATCATACTTAAATGTTACGAGTTTAATTTTTATCAACATCTTTTTGACCGAACTCTTTGCTTAAAGTCTTTCTAGTATGATTTACCCATTTTGTGTAATTTGTGAATTATTATACAAGAGTAAAGTTTATCCAATACACACCCTTAAGTATCCTGTATCCCAAAAAAAAAAAAAGAATTTTATAGTGTGGATTAATGATTTTGCATCCCTCTACACGCGATTCTTGCAATAATAATTAATAAACACATTTACTTCGTGGAAATCAAAAGAAATCAGAACCGCCAAATGATTAGGTGATATAATTCTATACCTCCAAATCCTACTTAATTTTATATTCATCCTTCCAACCAACCATATGCATGCTTCTTCACCAACGAATCAACGTTAATGGATGATATTCTTTATTTATTTATAATTCAGATTTCAAACTTTTTTTTAAAACATAGGTGATCCCAGCTTCGCACCACATATTGCTGCCTTTAGTC